ACTTCTCTGTCAAGGCCTATCCTTACAGCGTCATCAAGAAAATCTCCAGAAGGAACATCCAGGTACTCCCGCCCATGCTTCTTAATGGTAGCAACTCCACAAGCATGAATAACTGCAATAGAGTTGAGTATCACTTTAACTTGTTCTAGCGAGTTCCCTTCTGGCGGGGTATCCACTCTGAAGCCATCTGTCCTCAGGTCGTGCATGACAAGGGTGACGAGATCTTCCTCTACGTCCGCCCAGTATACGTCTGGGACTGGATTCTTCAGGCCGCTATTCTTGCAGAAAAGTTGAAAGTCATCTGTTAAGACAAATTTGTAAAACTCAATTTCCTTCCTTGCAAGGTTCCCATTCTTCATGAATTCAATTGCATCCTGTGCTGTTGGAGCAAATTTGAAGACTAAAGACCTCTCTTCAGTAGGATGATTTGGCCCTTTGAAAGTCACTTGCACGAAAGACATTTCGCTCATGAAATAATTCTTTGTACTAGGGAGTTTTGATGTCCATGATATAACTTCGATGTTAGATTTTAGCCTTTGTTTCAGCAGCTCTTCAAGCCAAGCTGTGCTGATGTCCTTCCCTGAACGAAGTACCACAAGTGCGGTGTTACTCATCGCAGGTCGATAGCTGAAAGACAACACGAATTTATATAACTCATGCTTTCTTTCCGTAACCAATGTCATAAACTTTATTCCAAATAAATGGCATCCGCAGATTCTTACGCCTATATTTCTAACTGCAGAGGTCTGTATTTCTATATATATGCATTAATACCCACACACACACACTGTATACATATATACTTACTTCTCGTTTATTTATGAATGCTAAGACTGACATGTGCAAAGGCATGATTAAATGCATTAATTCATAAATCTGAAATAAAGGAAATGCTATGACTTGGTTGACTACTTATGGAAATGCTTCATAATACTGAGACAGTGACATGCTCGGAAAAGGAACTCAAGTTTAGGAAAATTCCTTCTATGAAAGGTAATGACAGATGCATGAGACCTAGATTCCTTTTCCTGACAATGCCAGTGACGAACAACTTCGTGCCATTTGATGACTTTCCTTTCGGAACTGAGTTTGAATACTATACCTGAATCCTTACTTACCCTATTTTTCTATTCGACTGATTTCCTTTTCACTAGATATTTATACTGGTAGGTTAAAAGACAAGCATACAAGCATCTACATGTTGGTTTGCCTAAAATATGCATGAACACATACTTTTTCCTGAATAAATCTCCAAAACTATGCCATTTCTTTTCCATGGACCTGGAGAAACTTTGACAATACCTTCTTCTGCTCTAAAAACTTTACAGCATTTTGGCCTCTGTGGAAAGCAGTTATATTGTTATCTAGTAAATCCGGCAAACTTGCCGTAAAAAACATGAAACCATACATCCACATTTTCTCAACACAGTCCACAAGATCTTGGAAAGTGCAATCAACTGAAGCCCCATTCTTTTCCAAAGCTTCAGTCAGACTCTGCCAGTAGCTCTGTAGAACGTCATTTAGGTGTTGTTCATACACGACAGGATGGCTGCTCATCAGCAACAAAGAAATAATGTCACACACTGGGTTATCAACTGAAGCAAACTGCCAGTCAATTATGACGGCGCTCGTATTGTCGGCAGAGAACATGACGTTGCCTGTCCATAAATCCCCGTGGATCAACGTCTCAAATAGTGGAGATCTAGTCTCAATCATTTCTTTTCTTAATGAGTATAAAGCCCTCAAAGTTTCTGCTGTGCGAGTTCCTTTAAACATCTCCACTTCTCTGTCAAGGCCTATCCTTACAGCGTCATCAAGAAAATCTCCAGAAGGAACATCCAGGTACTCCCGCCCATGCTTCTTAATGGTAGCAACTCCACAAGCATGAATAACTGCAATAGAGTTGAGTATCACTTTAACTTGTTCTAGCGAGTTCCCTTCTGGCGGGGTATCCACTCTGAAGCCATCTGTCCTCAGGTCGTGCATGACAAGGGTGACGAGATCTTCCTCTACGTCCGCCCAGTATACGTCTGGGACTGGATTCTTCAGGCCGCTATTCTTGCAGAAAAGTTGAAAGTCATCTGTTAAGACAAATTTGTAAAACTCAATTTCCTTCCTTGCAAGGTTCCCATTCTTCATGAATTCAATTGCATCCTGTGCTGTTGGAGCAAATTTGAAGACTAAAGACCTCTCTTCAGTAGGATGATTTGGCCCTTTGAAAGTCACTTGCACGAAAGACATTTCGCTCATGAAATAATTCTTTGTACTAGGGAGTTTTGATGTCCATGATATAACTTCGATGTTAGATTTTAGCCTTTGTATCAGCAGCTCTTCAAGCCAAGCTGTGCTGATGTCCTTCCCTGAACGAAGTACCACAAGTGCGGTGTTACTCATCGCAGGTCGATAGCTGAAAGACAACACGAATTTATATAACTCATGCTTTCTTTCCGTAACCAATGTCATAAACTTTATTCCAAATAAATGGCATCCGCAGATTCTT